GTCTAGATGATCTCAGAAGGTACTGGTATAAAAAAGTCTAATTGGTACTTGCTATTGATCGAATTTGAACCTGCACTCTCATGCATGAGAAGCAGGTGTCTCCGGGCCACCACCCAACCCACTAGGGTTCGATTCCCGAGTCGGCACAAAGTGTTACATACAACGCTTACTGTGTATGTCGCATCCGCTCATGAAGAATAGTCCCTATGTGTCTCGAAACTTGTAGAGTAATCCGTCATTTTTAGTTAATTCAGTATGAAGTTATATTGTAACCTTACTCATGAAGTATTGGTTCCATATGTCGTAGTATGATGTGGACGTCTTCTACGTCCTTGACAGCGACTAGTCTGGACAGCTCCATCAAGAAGACCACTAGATAACCTTCATCATATTCTTCTAGCAGTCGATAATAGTTCTGTAGTAGTTCTGCCCTCGACTGTGACTCTAGTGAGGCGTCAGGATCTGAAACGTGTCTTTGGGAGACGTGGTTATCGTCAAAGGCTTTATCATCATCATCAACCTAAAGTGACCACAGCAGACCAAAGGCCTCTTCTGACACGGAGAAAGTTTGAGCAGTAATCACCACGCTTGCTTATAAGTAAAGCAAACGTACGAAACCGAGACAGACTGACAGTTTGTTACTGAATCACGTCAAAGCGGCTGAAGGGATCGGGATGAAATTTGAAACGTTGGTAGATTATGGTCTATCTACTTTCTATCCTACAAGAACGCAGACAAAGCTGCTGGTAGAAGATAGTATTATTATATATAATAACGATTAAGGTCTCCATTAGGGACGCTCGCTTATGAGATGCGTGCCCAGGACGCTCTCTAGGTTAGATTGTACTCTGGAGTCATACGAGCAAAAAATCTAGTATTATGTAAACAGAAGAAGCAGTAGTACTTAACTTACTTATGATTATCTTCTCGCAATACAGATACAGAAGACTTAGCAGTTGTCTTATCAAGATGTGATGCGGTTGTCTTAGCAAGAAGTGTGATATGTGAAATTGTAGAACTATTTTTAACAGTAGACACTACAGTCGGAGAGGAAGTCTCTCGATCGCTCCTCCCTATATTCTCAGATAATTCATTTTGTTTTAATTTTGCACTAGAAGTGTGGAATGTTGATGTTATATTTGGTAATGTGGTTAATGATGGAGATGTTGTTGAAGAATTTTCTCTATTTCCAGGTGAATGAGGTGTTGTTTTGTTTGGCGAACTTAAGTCGGTAGAGACGTTTTTATTTTGTTTTTCTTTCATCCCGTCTCTTAGTGCAGGAGGTGGGAACACTGGCAACGTCGCTACCTCTTTATTTGCTTTCATCAGTTGCCCAATATCCTGTAGCTTTTCATTGACTTTTTTCAAGATTGTTTTTATTTCACGGAAATTCTTATGATGCATGTTTAGTATCACTGTTTTGTTGACCTCTGAAATTTGAAGAACAATCATTCAGACTGGAAAATCTATTTATAATTAAATGTGTAAAGTCGAAGTGTTTGTTTGAACGTGGTTACCTCCGAAACTGCTGGTTCGATGTGAATAATTCTTTTTGCATTAGATGGTGCATTTATCGAGGAAGGCTGTTGGCTATAAAATATCACGCTACGATTGATAGCAGCCAAGCAGTGGCAGCGGCAATTTGTTATATACCTACTTGTTTGTTTTCAGTTCTTTAAGTTGCAATACGTACCTTTGGCTTCCGCTTCATATAATGACAAACACGACAACGCAATAATCAATAACAACATCATAATATATTAGTAATTGCAAACTAAATATTCATTAAAATATTTCAATAAAGTTTCGACACAGTTGTAATGTTTCTAAAATGTCCATTACAGATTGTAATAAAACCAAATGGAGATTTTAACAACGCAAATGGCAATAAAAACATAAGTTAGATTTAAAATCTAACAGTGAGTTTAAAATCAGTAACAATTCCAATGTTTATTGTCAATAAAATAGTTGTAATAATTTTATTGGATTACAAATATAAAAATAGTTGCTCGCGCAATGTATAACAAGTTTTATGATACAATAAAATGTTAGTATTTTTATATTAAAATGTAAGTGTGCGCTTGTGTTCTGCTGCTCACTGTATCATTATTCCAATAATATTTGCATTCCAAATATATTTCTCGTAAGAATGAAAAGTAATGACTTATTGTAGCTGTTATGGAGACAATTTACAATTAAGTTATTCAAATCGACATCAACTCTATCGCCCGAATACTGAAATGTTACTCAATTTTCAGTGGTAGGTACCTACTTAAATATCGCGCACTCTCTGTTACTTAACATAGAGTTTGTAGTGACAGAACTATAGCTAAGCGCGACTTAAAACTGAGTAGCCTTTCAGTATTCGGGCTTATGTCTATCGGAGTACTCGTTTACAAAAATAGTACGCACTGGAGATTTAGGTTATTCCTAAACTCAATAAAAAAATATACTTAATGACACTATTGTATGGAGAATACCGAACTACATTCATAAGAAAACACATGATCCAGCAATTCGATAAAACAATGCGAACCATTTGAAAATTTTAACAGCAGTTGGACCACTACTTTGAAAATCCATAAATTAGTTTCTAAAATAAAAATTATATCGTATGCTACAACGATAAACTTAATAATCCTCTGTAATGAAATATAAAGTCCAACAACTTCGAATCAGAAACGAAAATCATCCTCTGCGCTTCTGACATAAATAAATACTAGTTTTGTAATATGTAATTGACTGTGTAAGTAAATGTATGGAGAAAATAGCCATCGTTTAAGTTAATTGCTGTAGGCAAGACGTTGAAAAACACATAAAATAACATAACGCCATTATTCCCGAAGGGGTAGGTAGAGGTGCACATTATGCCACTGTACAATGTAACACCTACTTTTCACTACTTATGTTAAGAGTCCCATGTAATAGGGGGTGAGTCTATTACCATATACTGGGCACAATCCCAGACTACGTGCTCCAACTAAGAATTTTTAAAAACCCAGTAATACTTTGCCCGACCCGGTAATCGCACCCGAGACCCCTTGCCCGGTAGTCGCACTTGCGACAACTCGGCCAACGAGGCAGTCGTTGAAAACAGGCTGATGTAATGTCACTTAGAAATGATTGAAGCACCAAAATGTCAGTGATGTATATATGTGTGCGTGTACTTGCAACACCGTAATGTATGAAGTGTAACGACGGGCCATGTCACGCGACAGATGTCCTTCGTGTCAATGTGTGTGTATGCTGCGTGTAAGTCTGTAGTAGTCAGGTGCCACAGTCGTTGTTTCAAGGGACTATGTCCACCTTTTTTTCAACGGCCTTGACTGTAGGTCGGTCGGTATTTTATTCTGCGCTTGTGATCACTCCGCCAACTATATCTCTAGTATGTAGGTTTGATAAAACTTTAGCGTTGAATGGTCTTTCAACACTCAATCTGTACACGGCTTAGTTATATGGAGACCAATGAGACTTTCTCATTCTTATTTTGCATTAGCCTTTAACCGCTTGAATGTCCGTATATGAGACACAATAGAAAATACATTGTGTCTCGCATGGATCCACGCTTAGACACACGAGGGGTTAAGACAGTGTCTATACTTCGTACTCTCAACAGCAATATGTAGTAAAAAGGTTGATTAAGTAGATGAAGTTTAAGAGAAAACGAATAAACACAATAAGTTACATATTTTTCATATACAAGGATAAGTTGTAGCGACATCTACCGACATTATCATCTATTAATTAATTTAAACTCGATTATATGTTACATTTTAATATTAGATATTTGATGATAAATGTCAACTTTATTTAAAAACAAAAATGTTATTTTAAAAAAATGTTAATTTCATTTATCAAATGTTGCTGTGCCCTTATGGGGTCCATAAATGTATCTTAGCTTTAAGCGTATATTGTAACACCTTATTCACATTATGGTATGCAAATAAATGAATATGAATATGAATATGAATATGAACATGTCATAAAACAACATTTGACGGTATAGAAACGACGGTTCCAGAAACGACTAATAGATGGCGCACTCAACATTTTCTGTCGCTAGTACAAACGTGCGGTCCTTGCCGAGGCCTTAGTACGAGTTTGTATTGGTTGGTTCATTGGAGACGACCAATCACAGCGCCGCACCCGATCTCGTTTCGATTACTTCAAACACATAACAACCTTGTACTAATACGTCAGATCAGAGAATTCTAAAGTAACAAATATGTAATTTGTTTGAAGCTGTTGTGTCGTTTTTGTGGTAAATATTAGTGACAAACACTCATACTTAACAACTTTAGCAATATTATCAACATAACGCTTCGCCTGTTTACCCCCCAACGGGGTACAATGAAGTATAATATTTAGGTATAACCTTTCTACCAGTTATTATATGAGTCCCATGTAATAGAGGAACCTTGTAGCAAATATAATTAAATATATACTATTACGTGATTTTAAAAATCGATGAAGCGAATAAGTTATGTAGTAATCGTAGTAATTGGCGTTCCATAGTCCATGCCTACCCCCATGGGAGGCAGGTGTGAAGTTTTGTGTATGCATGTAAAAGCTGTGAAACGGGAACTGAACCCGAGTTTACAGCAACTAACATCGTACATCACATTAGCGATGCTGTATTGAGCAGCATATTATTTTAAGTTGAATTGCTTGAATTTGGCAAAGTTATTGAAAATGATTTGGGGAAAATAAAGCACTGCAAAAGTCGTTGAAACCTTTTTTAAAATTATACATCAAAATACTCAATACCGAAATTTTTATGCTTTCTACATGTGTGAATTAGGTGGTAGACATAATAAGGCACAATATGGAACCTGTCGGGCACAACAATATACGTTTTGGAGGGAACACACTTCGACTGACATTAATTCGAAAAAAAAGAATATTCAATGACAAATGCAACATAAGCCAAAATTAAGATTGATAAAGATTTATTCATAATTCAAAATTATGATTAAAATTATTATGAATCTTAATTTCAATCACCACACGACAGATGGGTGAAATATATCATAGTGTGGGGGAGACGAAAACTCTAAAACTTTTGTAGACCTTCCTCTATTCGTTGTATGACTTTTAGATTTCTTGTCACTATTTCTGATTTTATTCTTAGATCTCCTTCTGCCATCCGTTGGGGTATAGCTAGCACCTAGAGGATAGGTTTCAGTGAAGTCACGATGCATTTTGTTGTGTGTTGACGTAGTATCTCTTGCTCTTTGTCTGTCTTTCAATAGCAACGTTTGAGTTGATCTCTGTTTTGTTTGATCTGCTGATAGTTTATGACTTAATTTCTCATTTGTGTGATACAGTTGCGTTTTGTTTGTCTTCAAGACCTTCCTATATAACCTTGAAACGTTACATCTATCACATTTCCTAATAACAATATCGCCAAATGCGTCGCCATTTTCATCTCTTCCATTACTACTCCTACTTAAACATTTTACAGTTTGGTTTTTGTCGTTCGTTGGACAACCTCTTAGAACGTTGGGTTGCTTTATGTCCTCTATTTGTTTCTCTAAATATTTTAGCCTTTTGAGGATGATTCTGAGGTCTTGTACTCCTATATTTCCCCTGTTGTTGCTTAAAGATCTTCTTAAACGTTTTCTTTCTTTTTCTAAATCCCTTTGGAACTGTTCTACAGATTGTTCTGATCGTTCTTCACTGGAGTGGACATGATCTGATGCAAAAGTCTGATTGTGTTTTGTCTTCTCACCAACATGCCATTTCGCGAAGCTTGTTGTTTGTGGCTCTACGTTTAATAATGCATGGAATTTTATGCTTTTTGGAGGTATTGTATAATTCCTTGATATTGCATTCGTTGGCGAATTATGCATATCAATTATGGATACACTGGAATAGAAATAATTGATTTAGTAAATATATTTCACAACCAATCAAAATAGGAAAAGAATTACCTTCCAATTTTCTTTAACGATTCAATAACTCGCTTGTACGAATCCATGACATTAATTTTTCTTGTCATATTCCATTGCACTGATTCCGTTGTTGTGTTAGTCAATCTAAGCGCATGTTTGTGGTCGTCCAATTTCAATCTCTGTACGTTAGCGAATACATCGGGTATCTTCGACTGTGTTGTCTCTATGGTCTCTGCAGGTGAAATTTCCTCTTCATATAAAGTTGCATAGCGTCCGGTGGTGCGGTGAACTTCCGTTGGTTTTTCTTGCGATTGTTCTATGGAATTGCTTTCAGATTCTTCGGAAGGTTTATATTTCATATTCGATGCGCTTATGTCTTTATAGACTGGTTCTGAGTTATCAAAACCTAGTCTTTCAATTTTGTGTATTGGACTAGGACTTGTAGAGATATTTTTTGCTGTTATTATACTTCGTCTTTTATTTGATCCGGTTTCGATTCGTCTATTAGGACTAATGTCTGTAGTGAAACTGGTTCTCCCAGTCGTTGTAGGAGACATTTTAGAATGTTTAAAGAAAGAAGCAATCCTCTCTTTCAGTTCTCTTCTAGTGTTTGTGTTTAAGTCAGTATAGTGGTCGAAGATCAAAGACCTGACTGCTTCTCTAATAACTTTGACTAAATTCTCGTCGGCCCAAGATCTCGTTCTACTATAAGCTTCTAAATCTTTCAGTACTTTGTGGAATATCTTTTCATCGTCCTGTGTATATAAAGAATTAAGAAAATCGACGAAATCTTTCACCTTCCTATCATAATTCTGAATTCTCAGCGCATCTCCAAGTGAATTAATTATAGACCTAGTCTTTAATACAGGTTTGCCTTTGATTAGATCTAGTTTTTCACTCAGAACCATTCTTGTCTCATAAGTTTCTGTTAGCTCGTAGAACTTGCTGCCAATGTAGTGACATTTTTTTAGTTCATCGTCTAAGATTTGGAAAAATACACGGAAACCAGTATCATCATATGTTTTGAGTATGTTGATAGCTTGTTGGATGAAACTGGTGAAGGTGTGTTCTCGATCAGCTGTTAACTGACGTCTAAAGTCCTTCGGTTTATTATAATGCATTGCATCTTTAACTGTGTTAATATACTTTTCAACAGTATTTAGAAGTTGTCTGTCACCTGATTGGTCCTTATCAAATTGTAGAACAGTTTCTAAAGCAAGATTGACATTTCTGTTTGGATACTTTGACGGCGGTTGTAGAGTGTTTGTGTGTGCTGAAAAATTATATGTTTTTTATTAATTGTTACTGTACTGTCGATGGCTGATGGCTACTATAGGTAGTAGCACGTATATATGAATTTTTTATATTAAATTCAATGATGTGCCAGGACATTGGATCTGTAGAAACACCTACAAATACTAGTGAGATTGTAGATTCAAATAATTATTAATTTTGTCATTCAGTAGTTGTTCCTACGAGCACTTGACAAAAAGATGATAATATCTTTTGCTTTTACTTTATCAAATTACAAATTCAAGTAAGTACATTTTGAGAGGGACTCAATGAGAAATATAATCGAAATAAATACC